TGGTACCAGTTGTCACAGGAATCACAGGCTACTGCTAGTAGTCTGTTGTTATTTATGTATAATTGTCATTTTGTTTATTTTCTTTTGTTTCCTATTCTGACATCGGACTCGGACTTCTCTTAAACTGAGTTTTACTGTGCGTACTGTTGTACGTTTGTTTTTTCTACATTGGCTAGAGGTATAGGGGGAGGGTTGAGATCTCAAAAAACATGTTTAACCCCGCCGCATTTTTGCGCCTGTCCCAAGTCAGGAGCCTCTGGCCTTTGTTAGTCTTGTATCATTTTTAATTTTAGTTTCTTGTGTATAATTTGGAGTTTAGTATGACGTCCATTATCACTGAACTAGTATACATATTTGTTTAGGGGCCAGCTGAAGGACGCCTCCGGGTGCGGGAGTTTCTCGCTGCATTGAAGACCCATTGGTGGCCTTCGGCTGTTGTCTGCTCTATGGTCGGGTTGTTGTCTCTTTGACACATTCCCCATTTCCATTCTCAATTTTATGCCTTCGTTTTCTACTGGAGTCTCACATTTAGGACATATAACTTGGTTGTTTTTATCCTCTGTCTGATGTTGGGTACTTGATGTGTCAGTGATATCCATGATGGCAGGTATTGAGGTGGTTTTTCCACTACTCTCCACGTTGCTCTTTACTCTTGTAGGTTGCAATGACACTGAAAAAAGAGATTGTTCTTCCCATCCTGATGTATTACTGTTGAAGAGCAATCCTTTAAATTTGTGAGTTGGGACTGGATAGTATTGTTACAAATGTTTAGTTCTTTAAATTTACTTTTAATTTCTGAGCAAAGACTATCAAAGATCTCATTGATGAAGATATCAACTCTATTACCATTAACTGTCATTTTGTTTGTTGTGTGGAAAAGATTGATAGTAAATTTTGAGCATGTTTCCTGGTTGGTTATTGTTCTTTCTGTTGTAAACTTTGTAACAGGAGTCAATCTTGAGATTTGATAGTTCCACACCATGTTGCTCGAGTACAGTATAGTTGGTAGAGATATCCGTCGATTGTAGTAGTGTTAAGATTCTCGATTTTGCGAGTTCATATGCTGTTGTACTAAATTCTACTACAAAGTTTTTACCAACTTTCATCTCAAAAGTTAAGTGTTGATAGTTGCATTTCGTATTTTTTGTTTCCAGAGCCTTATCTCGGTTGATAGCATAATTTCTATTACTCTTAGTTGTCTGGTTAACTTGCAGTAAATTGCCTGTTGATAGAGCCCTATTGTAAGTTCTTGTCTCCATTGATCTATCCATGTTGTTTAGCTGTTGCCACAAGGGATTTACTGAATGTTAGAATAAACCTGGACTGAAAGAATATCCACAATAAAAGTCACTGGTGTCTCAACTGGCACCACAGTAATTCACCCTGCTATTTTTGAACGATGTGTGTATATATATAGTGTTTGGTATAGCGCGGAAAAACCACACTGACCAATAGGGGTATACTCTAATGCGGAGAACTGGCTGTATAGTGTAGCGCGGAAAAACCACACTGACTAAGGCTGCGAGTAGGCTGAAGCCCCACTGAACAGGTATAGCGCGGAAAAACCACACTGACCAATCAGAGGGGTAGAGGTGGAATTGGTAATAACCTGGTGAATTATGTTTGTGCCATATAAGAGACCAGAACTGATGGTTTGATATTAATGCATGTACTACTAGATATCCAGTAAGAGATAATATAAATTGAAAAAAAAAAAAAAAAAATACAGCAAAGTAAGGATGCTAAGTGAGTTTTCTATATAAATTCTCCTTGCAGATAAATAGGTTTTAATTGTTAAATGTAAACCAGTTTACAAATTTAAAATTAAATGACTATGTAAAGAAGGTTGCAATGTACTTTTATATTTATAATCTAATTACTAACAGAGAAAAAACTTTTTAAAGTAAAATAAAAGCTGTCTCTAGTTCTAAAATTTGGATATAACTAAAATATTAATGAAAATAAAATACAATGCAACAAATTAAAAGATAACCAAGATGACAGTTAAAATGACAAACAATATCAAAATACAAAAAAAAATAAATCTAAAAATCACTATATGTCAGATTATAACATGTAATATACTGCAACAAGAATCTATTGATTAAAATCTAAAAATGAGAAAAAGTCTACTATAAACTACATATGTATTGATTTATATCTATATAAACAGTATTGAGTATTCTATTAGTTAGTCCAACAATCACGAAAGATTTGCACTACAAGCTTCTTTAACCAGACTTTGGCCAGAACAGGGTCAGGGTGTATACCGTCTGGATAAAGAGAGACGTTGAAGTATTTCCTTTGTTTCTTCCCTTTGTGATTTGAGGTTTTGCAGTTGGAGGTTCTATATAAGTCGTAGGAAAAATCTGGGGAGTGTGTGCCAAGAGAGGAATTGATGGATTTGACTTCTTTGTTTAGTAATATAACTTGTTGTTCCAGTAGGTGATCTTGTTCCAAAAAAGTTGATGGGTCTTTGTGTTTTTGTTTTGTATTCCAATTGACAATCGAATAGAAAGGCGTTTCCAGAAAGGTAAGCTTACAGTTTGGGAATTTAGCAAAAAATTGTATTATGTCGTTGTATGTTGTTGTAATTTGATCTACAGTTTCTTGAGATTTTGAGGATGATAGGCATATGTATCTAGTACTGCGATCGAATGCAGTTAGATTACATGTGCCAACCCAGATGTACAGCCATATGGTAAAAACTAAATTATTTAAATGCCCCAAAAAGGCGCAAGCCAGGGCCGACCGTGCAAGGGCTGTATAGCTAGTCAAGGTCGTTTATTGTAACGGGGCTTTTTTTGTGAACCTATATATTTATATTATACATGTACTGTTATATGAATATCTATACGATTAAACATGTGAACATTAAACAGACTTCGTTATATAGACAGTAGTGAGCTTACGATGAAATATTGCAATAGCTGGTTCCCTATGTTAACGGGCAAACATGGATAAATCGATCCCGGATACGTACATCCGAAATAATGACATAGTTCCAAAACGTACAGAAGAAAGCCCCTTTACACTATATATATTCAACACGCCTACCCTGTTATGATGACGCATATATTTTGTTTTCTGGTAATATGAAATTGGAATGTTTATATAAACATATAGCTTTAAGATATAAAAAATAATGAAATTTGAAGCGTCGAGATGATATACTCTTGTTTCTGTATAAAACATTTAAAGGACGAAACAGGTGACCCAAACAAGCTTGAATATTAAAGGTGTACCTGACTTTCTTAACATGTTCAGAGTGTCAGCAATTTTAAGGATTTTTTTTTAAATATTGTTATAAATGGAAGTCAATGCTTTTACAGAACAATCTAATACATTTATGTGGGAACTCATGTCATTGTAATTTTATGTATGCATCTTCAAGACCCAAAATGATATAACCTACCAAAATCAGTAGTTTTGTAACAATTTGTATTTAGTTAAACGATTTAATTTTTTTCTGAATTCCGTCAAAGTAAAAGGACTATTTAGGTATAAGAACTAAGCAAATCAACATACTCACACATTGTTTAACGAACATAAAGATGTACCTTAGCGCATTGAACGATATGAAATTCTCAAAGCTTGCATGCCTGCATGAATTGTAGATAGCCAAATATAATAATTTAACATTTCATCAGGATTTTTTTTGTGAAAATGCCTTGGTGTGTCAGTGTAAGACCACCCTCCGGCTTCTGGAGTGTTCTTACACAGACACACCGCGTCCTCATGAGATGACTATTACTTAATTACAGATAGGATAGCACATCCTAATTTTTACGGTGATGTTATTTTCTGGGTCATTAAATTGAGGTACAATCATGTTAAACTTATAAATCAGTTCTGTAGATAAGTTTATTCAAAAAGATTACCAATTCAACACTGTTTTTATATCTTAGAATATTGTTTTAAATCGGTATAGATATTGATTTTGTTATCAATAAATTAAAGTCTAACTAAATATTACTGTTATGCACATGCACACTTATGTACATTCACGGTCCTGCATACCTATATTTTTGTATTACAAAGTTCATGTTTCTCTGACTGATAATGACGACTTTATACTTAATTTATTCGAAGCTGGATGCGTACTGATTAATAATTAAGTCTTGGATACTAACATGTAAAACCCTGCCACATTCTTAATGTACCTGTCCCAAGTCAGGAGCCTGTAATTCAGTGGTTGTCATTTATTGTTTTGTACATAAACCCGGCTGTCAGTTTTCTCGTCTAAATTGTTTCACATTACCATTTCGGGGCCTTTTATAGCTTATACTATTCGGTATGGGGTTTGTTCATTGTTGAATGTCGTACGGTAATCTATAGTTGCTTACTTCTATGTCATTTGTTCTCTGGTGGAGAGTTGTCTCATTGACAATCATACCACATCTTATTTTTATATAAACTTAAAATATATAATAGGTTTTGACAAATTTCTAGTATTTGTCTCAAAAAGGAATTGAAAGACATGCCAACCCGAGCCAAAAATCTATTAAACGTGTATTAATGTAACTTCTTCAAATCATTAAAAAGAGTTCTCGGTGTCCGAGTGGTCTAAATAGTCTAACTACCATATCACTAGTCCGTGTCTTCTTACTGTATCCAGTGGCGGATCCAAAGGGGGAGGGGGGATGGGTCCCGGGGGTTGGAACCCCACTTTTTTGACGATCAACGCATTTGAATGGGGACATATAGTTGGAACCCCCCCCCCCCCCTTTTAAAAATGGCTGGATCCGCCCCTAGTCTGTGTCTAACTACTGTATCAGTTAACAAACACATGCAGATTGGTAATATCTGCGAAGTGTAGAGAGATATAATACATTTAATTTTAATGATGATATGTTGGACAACATTTAAGTATTTTATCAAGGCTCTTTTGATTGGACTACGTTTTATCAGCTTTCCTATTCTAACCATACAAATGTAACAAATACAGAAGAAAGTGGCTACACTTCATTTATTTATAATGTATTTACATTGAACTCTCATGGAAATTTAAGAAATGTCAATTTGCATTAATATGGTAACATGTTAAATATAATCACAGTAAAATCACAAATAAGTAGAAAGGGAAAAATCCATGAACATGACATTTTTTTTTTCTTTCAGTACAGGAAACGAGTAAGCTTCAGCCTCGGAAATAATGTCGAATGTTTGATTAATTGATTTCAAGGAGGCGGCGGTGGTGGTGGCGGTGGTGGTGGCGGTGGAGGAGGAGAATAAGGAGGGACATCAAACGAATCCATTGAAGGTAAACCATTGTCTGGTGGTGGCGGCGGAGGAGGAGAAGGAGGGACACCAAACGAATCCATTGTAGGTATTCCATATACACTATCATATAGTGGCTCTTCATTTGTGTTAGGTAAAGCTTGTTGCTGATATTTTTCGTATTCATCCTCGATAGGAGGCTGTGATGGGTCTATATTCATGTATAAGCCCTCGGTACGTGGCTGCATTGTGTGGTTTACTTTGACTTGATCACCTATAAGAGGCTGGGTTGGGTCATCAACGTACTGATTTTCAAAAGAAGAATCGTCAAAGAAAGAATCGCCAGGGTCGTTTATATTAATTACTTTAGTCTGGAGTAATGGTTCTTTGTCTGTATCTTCCTGGTTCTTTAATCCTATTTAATATATAAAATAGGGTATTATGATTGAAGACTATGTCAAAATGTGAAAGTTCACTTCATGTTAACACCAATTAAAGAGAACAAATAATCAAATATTACAGCAAAATTGTCCTTTTTTATAGATTTGGATATTTCAAAATCAAAACAAAAATTTATGACCGTTCCCTATTGTTGATTTTTCCTTAATTTAAATCAGGAATGTCTTAACCATAAATAACTTTAGACTTTTACTAAATTCTATCATAGATACCAAATTTGGTTTTGAAGTTTGTACCTGTAGAATTCTTAATAAAAACGAATATCACTTCCTAGTTTTTACGGTATTGTTGTTAAGAAAGCCCACTTTTTTAGATACGATCCATGTAAACTCATTGATCTTTTGATTAAAATCATTTTTAAAGGATATTAATTCAACACCGTAGTAATATCTTTTATTATTTCTTATGCAGCAAAAATCCTGCAATCTGATTGGTTAATTACCCGGTTTAAATAACACCCCGACCTTGTTCACCCGGGCAAATCCTTGCCCGGGGATAAATAAAATTTTGCTAAAAATTCGAAAAAGAAAAAAATTTGCCAAAAATAAAAGAGATAAAAAATGCATAAAAAAAAATAAAAAAAAAACACAAAAAATTTCCCGAAATTGCGCCTCAGGGTGTATGAATTTTCCACAACGGTGTAAAATTCTGTACACCCCTGATTACACCAAGATAACTAATAATATTGTTTTTATCGGTACTATAATGACGTTGTTTTTTATGATCAATTAAAACATAACTTAATATTTATGATATACATTTACGAATATACATTTAAGAATGGTCCTACATCCTTTCGATATTATGATGTACAAGGTCATGCTTTTCCCATACAGGTAATGGCGTCTTTACACTAATCCGTTGGATGTGTATTGATGAATATTTAGTCTTAGAGAACATTGTTTATTCATTACTTGTTATTGGCTTTTAACTAGCTTTTTGGAGTACATACATTCTTATCATATTTTGGCCATTATTAAATGTGTTTATATTTGTATTGGGAGAAGACGTCTGTAATGTTGTTATAAATTGTGTCCAATCCCTTTTGCTATTCTTGCAAAAAAAAATATCTTAAATACTAAACTAGTGAACCAGAAACAGAAGAGATATACTAAAAAACATAATGTCTCCCTTCTTCGAAAGGATAACATAACTAGCAAAATCGTCAATATACTATTGCATGTGATATCTACATTTATCTGTTTATATGAAAGAAAAGGGTTTACGAAGGGCTAAAATTGGCCCTAAGAATTTAACGTTTTTAAACAGGCCAAAGTGTTTCAAATTTCACATTGAAATAGTAGTGATATAAGTATCAATATAAATAGATTTTTGTGCACCACATTATAAATTACGACTGAAGTTAAGACCCCTTAATTATCCATTATTTGTGCAACTTCAGCTTTAATCCAATTTTCCATAATTTATAACAGTTTTTAGCTCTTATGTTGAGAATATCAAATAGAATCAGCTTATTACAAAAGATACGAAAGTATTTACCTATGCATATACGTACTTTTTATTGCAATTTTACCATTGTTTGATTATGGTTGCAATATATGCTATATATGCGGTAGTTGTTATGAAAGTGGAATAAATAAACGTAATCAGTTATTAAAGAAAATTGTTTAATAGTTTAGATTAGTTGAATGTGGAAACACGAATTCGATATCAAAAGGCAATACTTGTATTTAAAACATTAAAGGATATGATTCCTTAATATTTACAAGAAAACTTTTATTTTACTGATAATCAAAGTTATAATTTACGTTCAGCTGATGAAAAACTATTGAAACTTCCAAAGCCAAAAACAAATTTTTTGAAGAAAACTTTTATATATTCTGGTTCTCAAATATGGAACAGTTTACCAAATGAAATAAAGATGAGTAATTCACTTGTATCTTTTAAAGCAAAATGTTACAATTTTTCATGAAGGCATATTGATATCTTTATAAAATTGTATATTGTGTATATATCATTATAATATTGTATGTACTTTATATACATGTTATTATTATTTTGAGGACTCTCAGGAAGATTAGTTTAAACTAATGGGATTATCCTCTTGAAATTCATTCATTCATTCATTTTTATCTATTTATTTATTTATTTATTTATTTATCGGCGATCCTCGGAATTCTTGTCGATGTTTAATTATATAGATGACGTCCAGTCCAAAACCTGCTGTTACTTTATAACGATTCAATATGCGTGTCGTTGTTTTGTTTCCTATCATTATATGGAACTTTTGTTCTTCTTAAATACGTTTAAGTATGTTAAAAATCAAATTTGATAGTATATATGAATATTTTGGTGGAAATTCATTTGATTGTTAATTCCGCTTTAAATGTTTAAAATATTTGAGAACATAGTATAAGGATTATACAGATACGAAAAGGTTCGTCTCCATGTATTCATACTTATCAGTATCGTTGGTAAAACTGTAGTTTGAACTTTAAGTATTAAGTTAGGTTTGCACTTCGCATTTCAAATATGATCCATTAAACACATTTCTTGTATCATATCTAAATTTTGAATGTAAGATTTATTGAAAAGTATACCTCCACTCGTTACAAGACACTGACGAAAAGTTCCATGCTTATTCAGGTATAATGAAAAATCAAAGTATCGTAAAACAGGAAGTTACTGCCCGGCAGAATTGAAAATTGCTTTCACGATGTAAATCAGTATTACAAAGTCCGAAACAAAATATCAAATCATGCCTTAATGAAGAGGCCGAGTAATAAATTATGTCCAATTGATCTGAAAATAACTTATACGATTTAACTCAACATTAAAATCGATAAAATTATCAAATCTATTTGTAAGACAGTTGGGTTTCGATCGCTCTTGCATAAATATTCAATGCACTTAGTCAAGGGAAAAGCGTAGTCCTTACCTCCCGTTAGTTGAAAGGAATGGGAGGTAGCATACCTATTCATATTTCTGACTTTAATCTGATTTTCGATAGGCCTCGTAGAATGACACTGACGAAGTATTGTTTAAGAAGGTAATATTTTTAACAGATAATACGTCTTTTCGTCGTTTTTCGTTTTTAGCCATGGCATTGTCAGTTTGTTTTCGATATACGAGTTTGAATATCCCGTTGGTATCTTTCGCCTCTCTTTTGTAGAGAACAGTTGTAGTGTGTCATTAGTTTACAAAGGTGCGTTAGAAAATAATATTATTATTTTGCAAACATTACTTATCATCACAGCATATAGCTTTATAAACCATTTAACTGTATATCAATTTACTGTACACAAATACTTCGTGTAATGTGATAAGCCTTGTGCAATGCTTACGAGAATGTCGTGAAATGATTTAATTAGCCGAAGTTAAAGGATTGGATGAGGCGGCTGCGCAATGCGAGTCCAAATCAGAGACCAGTGCCAGTTTGGGAGAGAGTAAAGAAACAGATATATCCTAACATTGTTAGGTTTATTTCGGTTCTAAATAAACTCATCATAGATACCAGGATTGAAATTTTGTATTTGCGCCAGACACGCGTTTCGTCTACAAAAGACTCATATATACATCCATGGATTTCAAATATTCGACTTTGAGCGTTCCTGATGAAGGTTAATCCAGAAAAGCGCATCGAATGCATACAATTTATAATGTGTTGTTTTCATTTTTGAGCTCACCTGGCTCAAAGGGCCAAGTGAGCTTTTCTCATCACATGGCGTCCGTCGTCCATCGTCGTCTGTCAACTTTTACAAAAATCTTCTACTCTGAAACTACTGGGCAAAATTTAACCAAACTTGGCGACAATCATCATTGGGGTATCTAGTTTAAAAATTGTGTCGATGAACCCGCTTGCAAACCAAGATGGTCGACATGGCTAAAAATAGAACATAGGGGGAAATGCACGTTTTGTCTATTCAAGGCCGTATAACTACCATTGAGGCAAGTGAGGCAATTGCCTCACTAAAATTTCGACACTGTTTTTTTGTGTATTTGTTTATGGTAATAAAATACGAAATATAGTCAATTGTTTTTTCTGTCTCAACCTTAATTGCTATAACTTCGTTCCTTTTAAATTATTTTTCCCGGATATAACTCAGCATCTCAACGGGTGATGTTTTCGATTACATTAACCTTGTAACGGTAATCATCATGGATCTCTGGTTAAAACAGGCTCTTGCAGAAATAGGAAAAGCGATACTGAAGCTGAGGAAGGAATAATTCCAGTAAACTAACTGATGTTGTTTGTGATCACAACAGGGGATAAGAGTTCAAGTATTGAATATAACTTCATTGGAATAATCCAAAAACTATAAATAGACTGACAATTCAAGTACTAGAGCACCGCACGGGAGCAGTCCTGTACGCGTATTCATTTCCCCGTTTGCCCCAACTTTATTTGTTCTCTTTACAGATATACAAAATATAAATAATATGAAACCAAAATGGATTAGTTTTTATCCATGTTTCTTTTACCTTAAAATTTGAAAGAAAATCCCGTAATCCAATTTGACATTATTGAGGGACGGTAGGGCCTTTAAAACGGGATTTTGTGTTTTCTAATTCGGGACTACGGAATTTCGTGTCTTTTTATTCGGGAGTTCGGGATCGAACCCAAACGTAATACGTGTTCTTGTGCTTTTATTAACTCTCCCAGTGACGAGCGTCTGCTGTGAACGTTCTTTTTCTGCCATGAGACGACTGAAAACTTGGGAAAGAGCATGCATGAGTGGCGAGAGAATGTGCGGTCTTGCCATGCTCCATGTTCATCGCGATAAGGATGTCAGCAGACCAAATATTCCAAAACGATTTAACGAAACCGGCCATAGAAAAATTGGCATACTCCAATTTGAATAACAATTTCTACTGAGTCGATGTTTGTTCTATGTTCTGGCGGCAGACTCAAATTGATATTTGGATGTTTATCTGACATATAAATTTAAATAAACGGTTGTTAAAAATCGGTGTTAGTACATGTCTTAAAATATG